TTAGAAAAAGGACGAGACGTTCTTGATATAACCCTGGTTCATCAACTTTCTGCTCAGACACTGGTGACGTTTTATAAAGTCTAAGTAGCAGCTGCAAGCTCTTGAATACCGAATGAGTACGGAAATGTATATCCCATATGCAGGTGAAGTTGGTATATTGCTACTAAGGTGAGGGAAATTGATAATTTTAAAATTAAAATCGTCTCGTTTGTCATAGATTATGGTACTGAGATGACCACTTATGTCAAATTCGAGGTATAAGTCTAAAAATTAGGCGGAGGAAGGCGTGTCTGTTGTTTCTTTAATTTCTGGAGGATATCTTAATGGAACCCAAAAAGAAAAATTTGGATTGTTAATGGAAAGAACATCATCAATATATCCGAATGTGAAATTAAATGATCTGGCTTCTTTGATCTCTTGTTTTTGATAAGTTTCTGAAGGATATCCGACTCATAGGAGTGCCGACAATTTGTTGAAAAAGTCTACCTCCAAATTCACCAAATATTTTGTTAATAAGAAACTCCAGCAAACTGATCACTTGTTCCTCTGTGTAGCATATTTTACCTTTTTGTTTACTATTAACAAAATATGCCGTATGGCATCCCAAAATAATAAATTTATAGCGTATGCTATCATTTTTATATTGAAACATTGTGGATTATTTCTTTTAGACGATTTTTCAATTTTACATGGGGATTGGTGGTATACAGGGTTGAAAAATCAAAAGTTTTGATAGAATTAATTTCAGAGAAAGTTAGAGATTTAAAATTATCCAGAAGTTCTTTAGAGTTTTTTTTTTAGAATCCACATGGTTAATACCACTACGCGAGTAAACAGTTTCACAGTATTTCTGGAGACCCTCTTTCACTGAGCACAGAATTATTGTCAATCTGATGGACAATTCCTTTGTAGGTGAGCCGGCAATGTACCGTTGTTAGTACGGAATTTTGTGAAGCTTAGGTATCCAATAAAAACAAGGTAAATCCTTAGATTTGCTGTTTAATGTAATCCATAAAGGACTTATGATTCGCCAAATTCTCATCCTTGTCAAATGATATGGTTTTGTATGTGGGATTACCTGAGTGCTCATTTATTCCTAATTCTTTTACAAGTCACTCTTAGTAGTACGATTTACATACAAAGACAACATTATTTGAAGCTTTGTCCGCAGGAACAACATATTATCGTGAAGAGATGATAGACATTTCAAAGCTTTTTTCTCTGAAAACGGACTTTGGTCGATTATTCACACAATTTTTTAACTTATGAATTCGACGTTTTATCAAAGACCTGATTGTTTTCACCAATTCTGACAAAGTGTCCAGTTCAACTTCTTTTCGTTTAGCGAGTGTGAATTTGCATTGCTATACAACGTGTCTCGGTATTTTGTACATCCAACATTCATGTATTTATTTTATATTGTTTCTGTTATGGGTTCGGTTGGATAATGTGTTATGTCTTATCGTTTGTAGTCCAAATAATTATATACAGCCTTACTATACCATCATTGTCATGAACATTGTTTGGACTGGTATTGTGAATATAATTGCATAAATTTCGAGATAGCATGTTCGTTACGTAAGTGCGTCACTGTTTGTGATGTCCTGTGGTGTCTGTCGTTGATGGAAGATGTTCGTTGTTGTTCTGCGGTTTGCATGTTGTGTCGACTGTTATATTATTTATTTATATATATTATTTAATATGTATTATTATGTTTGTGCTGTATTTCTGTCACATAGGCATAAAACCAGGTTCAACCTACCTTTTTTTTCTTAAAATGTCCTGTACCAAATCAGGAATATGGCAGTTGTTATCAAACAGTTCGTTTCTATGTATGTTGACGTTTGTTTTTGTTGCACTTCAGTGTTCCTGTTGTTCTTTTGTTTTACTCTTATAGTTGATGTGTTTCCCTCGGTTTTAGTTTGTAACCCGGATTTGTTTCCTCTCAATCGATTTATGACTTTTGAACACCGGTATACTGCTGTTGACTTTATTTAGCCCATGCTATGGCGTAGTTCTCAATAGAATCCATAATTATTTTCAAGTTATGGTTCCTATTGATGTGTTGGGGTTTCTCTAAACTTAGGACCATGAGATATCACCTTTCGGAGATGTTCATGTTGAATTATGTTTAAATCCCTAGTAATAACATGGCCAGAGGGGCTGTAAATATAATGCGAGTGGGAACAGTCACATGTCAGAGTTTTTTTTAAAGATATTCTTCTAAATCAAGGTCCTGCAATGCTTGCTTATGGTAAAATACTTTAGGTGCAATGGTTTTGGTCTAACAGGAACAGACTGATTTTGAAAATAAAGTGGAATTTTAGATGTTACCTCTTTGTGATGAAGAACGTAGCATCAATTCCTTTATTAGTAAACTTAAATGGAAGGAATTTCATCTTTTCGTCATGTAAAGGTTCCGATCTCAATGGTTCAAAAAGACGGAAAAGAGCTACATCACAAATTATACTGACCAGTCTGTTTATTGGAGAAAATATATTTATGCATCTCTTGTCAAGTGTATAATCTCTCAAACATTTGAGAAAATAAGCAGGCAGTGAAAAAAGAATAGTTCTAATGTAATATAACCCTCGGCTGATGAAGATGTGAAAGAAGGTCATCAAAGCTACCGGAGGGCGATCTAGATTTGGAAGACTTTTTTTGCCGATGGTAATGTTTTTTTCCATGACTACGCTGGTGTCTTAAAGTAGTATTTAATAGGCTCATTACATTTATATCACTGCAGGCTGGAATTGACAAATTTTCTATTCCTGTGATTTTATCATTGCAACCATATGACATTGTAGAACCTAGTTCCCTTATCAAGAAATTTTCTCTATCTTTTTGGAAAGGAGTACTTAGTATACAACAGCGTCATAAAAAACTGGTATCTGGATGAAATCAATATAAAATATCTTGTCAGTGTTAAAAAAGCACCTGAGAGTATCCCATGTTTTTGGTGGGGTTTGTGTTGCTCGGTCTTTTGTATGTTTGAGTTTTGTCATGTTGTTAGTCTTTTTGACTTTTTCTTTCTTTTTTTGCCATGGCGTTGTCAGTTTATTTTTGACTTATGAGTTAAAATGTCCTTTTGGTATTGTTCGCTTCTGTTTTATGTGTGAGTTAGTACATTTTTTTTTATTTTTGAAATTTAAGTCAAATGGGGGCATGACCACCTTCCAAGAGAGGTTGTTTATAGTATTCATGGTAACCATAATTTTACATCAATTTTAAGAAAATGTGGAAGCCTTTGAATAAATTTCAAGAAATTTTTTTTTATCATTTTTTAAATTCATATATGAATATACACACTTTATCTATTTATAAATAAATTGAAATAAACAATACTACTTGACATCCAATCACATCGCTCAAAAGTTGACTTCCTTCGCCTGCCTTGGATACACAAAAGGACAACCCAATGGCAGGAAAACGAAATGCTATTTTTCTTCCTTTCAGCCACTTGTAAACAACTATACATTTGATAATAATCAAAATAATAATAATAATAAGAAGAAAAATGACTTTATGTAAAGAGAATGACTGAATAAGTATTCAGACACTTGTCAAAAACAAGAAGATCAAAGAAGCCAGGTTATTTAATTTCACTTTCAGATATATTGATGATGTTCCTTTCGTAAACAATCCGAACTTTTCTGATTGGGTTCCATTAATATATCCACCAGTATTAGAAATTAAAGAAACAACAGACACGGCTTCCTCCGCCTCATTTTTAGACTTATACCTCGAATTTGACATACACAGTCATCTCAGTACCAGAATCTATGACAAACGAGACGATTTTAATTTTGTAATTTCCCCCACCTTAGTAGCAATATACCAACTTCACCTGCATATGGGATATACATTTCCCAACTTATTCGGTATTCAAGAGCTTGCAGCTCCTACTCAGACTTTGTAAAACGTCACCAGTGTTTGAGCAGAAAGTTGATGAACCAGGGGTATGTCAAAGAACGTCTCGTCCTTTTTCTAAAAAAGTTCATCGGAAGGTACAAAGAACTTGTTGATAAATACTTAGTATTCCTTATCAACTTCACAAATAATACACGATGGTCTTGAAGTATAGATTTTGCGTACTGACGTTGTTTATCATCTTAATAACGTGTTATAGTATTCTTTTATTTATCTTTATTAATATTACTTTTACTGTTAAGCCTGTTTTTTTTAGATATCCATTTGACGTGACTCTGTACTTATGTATCCCGTTATACTTTGAACGACAAAATTATTTTATTTATTAATATTACTTTTACTGTTGAGTCTGTTTTTTTGTGATATACATTTGACGTGACTCTCTACTTATGTATATCGTCATACTTTGTACCACACAATTATTTTATTTAATTTATTAATATTACTTTTACTGTTAAGTCTGTTTTTTGTTCTATCCCTTTTACGTGATTCTGTATTTATGTATCCCCTCATACTTTGAACGACAAAATTATTTTATGTCTACCTGTGCGAATTTCAAACGCGCGATTTTACGCCAGTACTTAAAAACCTTCCATCCTTTATGGGTGGATTTTACATAGATAAATAAAATCGTATAATATAAGCAAAACGAGGATTTTAAATTTGATGTATGCCTTTTTGTGCTTCTTCGTTACATTTGTTTGTTTTTATAGTGATTAAGATGATAACACAATGTTGACTGCTGTACCCCTATTTTTGACATTTTTACCTATTGTGTCTGTTTGTTTTGTTCACGCATCGTTGTCAATATAATGGAATTTGATGCGACTGTCATACAAGTGAGAGGTTTAGCTAGCTATAAAACCAGGTTCAATCCACCATTTTCTACATAAGAAAATGCCTGTACCAAGTCAGGAATATGACAGTTGTTACCCATTCGTTTGATGTGTTTGGTTTTTTTTTTGCCATTTGATTGGGGACTTTCCTTTTTGAATTTTCCTCGGAGTTCAGTATTTTTGTGATTTTACCTTTTATCTATCTTGAGGCAGTCACAAAAAACAACATGTATAACAAGTATCACAAAGAATACAATTTTTGAACACATTATTAAATTATCATGCTAGCTGAATGATTGTCTGTAGAACAAAACAAACAAAAATATACATAATAAACAAACATTAAAAAGACATGAGACAGTTGTTACTTATCATTAACAGTTAAAAAATCTACACATTTTCTTTGATCAAAGTACAAATATTTTCACATAGTTTTATTTCATTTAGTAGTTTATTCCAAAATATTGAGGAGCAATACATGACTCATTTTTTCATTGAAATGTGTGAGGCCTCACTACAGCTAGAATATTATTTGCAAAAGATCTTAAATTTCTGCTGTGTAGGTTTGTAATTGGACAACATAGTTCTTTAATGTAATTAGGTACCTTATCATTGAGAATTTTTGTGAAATCATATATTCGAAATGTAATCATTTAAGCTCTTCATATGAATTTACTGTAGGTATTAGTATTGGTGAATCCAGTATAATCCTTGCAGATCGTTTCAGAATCTTTAAGATTCGTTTAAGTTCATCTTCCATTACTATTTCCCAAAATTGAGTAACAAAAATCAAATATGGACAGAGTGTAAGCATTATAAAATAATTTTCTACTACTTATATCTAGATATTTTGTAACTCTGGATAACAGTGCAATTCGAGAACATAAATGCTTTTACATACGTGGTCAATCTGAAATTTGCAGTCTACATTTTTGTCAATTTATATACCTAGAAGTTTGTGCGTTTCAACAGATGTTATTGGGCAGTTTTGTATTGATATTTTTAGTTTATCAAATACCAAAGCTCGTTTTTATTAGTTCCACTCAGCAAAGAAGTTGTCTGTGAAGGATTTATTGCGATTTTTTTTGTTTAAACACCAATTATTTATGGTGATGGCATCATGGTTTAGTTTTATTTCCATATCTTCCTGATTTATATCATGGGTATGCAGATTTGTAATATCAGAAAACAAGTCAACGACTGAATTTGTTGCTGCTAAAGTCATATAATTTATGAATAAAACGAACAGTAAGGGACCTAAAATTGACCCTTGAGGAACCTCATATTTAATATAATCAGAATTTGATGCTGTTTTACCTGGGCAAATTTTTTGTGGTCTAATCGAGAGGTATGACTTGAACCATATCACTGAATGATCTGAGACTTCGTGTAAATGTAATTTATGGCAGAGAATGAGATGATCAACAAGATCAAATGTTTTATTTCAGATCTTGAAAGACTGTTCATATAACATTACCGTCGTCAATATATCTAAACAAGTTATATGTCAATTTGGAAAGGAATGTTTGGCATGAGTGGTTTGATCTAAATCCAGATTGTGCCTCATGTAATAGTTTATATTTTGACAGATAAAGATAAAAAAAATTTCAAACATTTTAGATATAGTAGTATTCTAAGTATTGGATTAATTTTGAAATCTTAAATTCAAAATCTGTGGAAATGTTTTCTATTTAATTTATGTGCTTGAAAGGATACATTAGTTGTAATATATTTATTCTTCATTGTTGTAAAGTATGTGTAAAAATTGTCTACTATATCTTGTATATTATCATATTTTGTTATGGTAGATATTTTAGGTTTTACATCTTTAAGTAAAGCTCAAAGTTCTTTAGGTTTTTAGTTATTTTAAATAGCCTGCTTGAAATAGGACTGTTTGGATTTTTCTATTAATTTTGTACAGTTATTGTGCCAATAATGGAAGTGATTCCAGTTCACTTTGCTCTGGTACACATTTCTTTTTTTAACCTTCTTTCACCTCATCAGTAAGCCAATCTGGTTGGCATACATGTTTTATTATTTTCACTTTAATGGGAGAACGTTTGTTAATTACTGACAGACATAAATGATACAGCATATCAGTGGCAGTTTGCATATCACTTATTTCTTCTATTTGTATAATTATGTTTTATGTAAATCCTCCAAAAAGTTGTTTTCATCAACGTTTTTAAAACATCGATATCTTATGTGTTTATGACGTAAGCTTGTTATCAATTTTTGGTTTATTTTTTCTCGTATTATATACTAGATATACCACACTTAGGGCTTTTTTGGGGACTTTTTCATCTGTATTTTCAGAGTGATTTGTATAAACATGGTCGATGATAGTTCTTAATGTTGATGTCATACGAGTTGGAGTATTAATTTTTGTGATGAATATTGATTCGAGATAATTATACAACAAAAACACAAAGACAATAAGTATCTGACCATGTGACATTAGTTTAAAACATTGAATGACATATATTTAACCAACTGTTACCTTAAAAATAATTATCCTGTAGATGCAAAGGAGATAATTATGAAACCAAAGCAAAAAACCGAAGAAAATATGCATCTAACAATTAGCTATTAATTTCACATCGAATTAACCAACCGTTACCTTAAAAATAATTATCCTGTAGATGGAAAGGAGATAATTATGAAACCAAAGCAAAAAACCCTAGAAAATATGAATCTAACAATTAACTATTAATTTCACTTTCAATAAACCAACTGTTTCCTTAAAAAAAATTATTCTGCAGTTACAATGAATTTTTCGATTTGTCACGTAAAAGATTCACCTGTTCATTGTACTTACTTCAAAACAATTAATAGTAACCAGAATGTATGTTTGTTTAATTAACCGGAGCAAACATTTCTTTCGACCTTGGATATTGTTTCTCTCTTATTTTTGTTACAAAGTCAAATTCCGAAATCATTAATGAATCACATGTGTTTCGAGATACTTCGAATTGTTCGCTCCATTCTGACGATGGAAGCTTCAATACTGCTGACTTTTTATCTAAATTCTGACAAAAGTCTTCTACTTCCTTTCTGACAGTTTTGAAATACAACACTTCTTCGTGGAACAGTAATTCCATTTTGATTTGGCGCCAAAGTTTTAAGTAAAAATGTCTATATAGCATGTAGTCTATATCAGATAACTGTTTGTATCTAGTCCGATCTTTCTCGCCAATATTGATTTCTTTGTTAGCATTAGCATTTTTTCTGATATAAATTATATCCTTTGTAGACCATCTCAAAATACGCTTTAACAAAATCATAGACTCATCAAAATGTTCAACTATAATAACTAATGCAAATTCTTTGTCAAGCTGCTCAATATATCTTTGAATGTCGTTTCTTCTAGATCTGGAATTCAAAAGAAGTTCCAATGGAAAACCATAATCTATTGCCATTCTGTTTTTAGTAAAACCGTACAAAGCGTATTCTTCAATTGCTATAGTCACATCGTGTTTCTCTGGATCTTCAAGAAAATCTGTTATTGCTCTAGGTCCAGATATATTGAATCTTTCAAACATGATTGGAAAGTATAACATCATTGATATAAAGTATTCAAACGGATCTCGAAGTGTTCCAATGTAAACAGTGTCATTTGGAAGAATTTGTCCAAACGCGGTCCTGTTGTATAGAACGTGTAAGCATAAAATATCAAAATGGGTTGATGATAACGGTATTGGCCGAATGTTGCTCGATGTAACGGTTTCTAATAAACTTATTACATTTGGAAATATTGAATCAACAGATGGAATGACAAATGTCAGATTTCTCTCCGTCCCAAAACGAAACAACATATTCTGTAAAGTTGTGCTAGCCGCTTTGTGTACTTTGAGAAATGCAATATGATGAACTGCCGGTTTCAATTCTTTTAATACAATTGGAATTTCCCGCTTTTCAAGGGTTCTGAATGCAATGTAAATCACAGGTGCTGTAGTGCTAAATACCAAAACAGCAAAGCGTATCAAACTACAAAATATAATAAAGAAATCAATAGTTGAAGTTAGGAAAATAAATAAATAAATAAATAAACCCTACCATCTCCTCCCAAAATAGAAAAATAATAAATTGCGGAAATAACAATTCTATTTCTATGAACAGGTGCATGCTTGAACAATAAAATAAAATGCACAAGCGATATTTCATATGGATAAAAGGAAGTAAATAAAGATGACTGGCGCCACCTATTTTTTACATCCAAGATAACAAGTAGAATTAAATTTATTTTATGCTGCCCTGTTAATTAGGAAACGACATTGAAATAGTGAGGAATGAGTGTTTGCTATTGGTGTAGAAATGGCGTGAAATTCTCTCTGATGAGCAACATTTGCTGTGCAAAATTAAGCAAGGGGCGTTCTTCATTCATACTATTTCAAAATTTGCTGATCATCATGAACTTATAATCTATATATCAAAAAAGTAAAATCACAAAAATACTGAACTCCGAGGAAAATTCAATCGGAAAGTCCCTAATCACATGGCAAAATCAAATGACAAAACACATCAAACGAATGGACAACAACTGTCATATTCCTGATTTGGTACAGGCATTTTCAAATGTTGAAAATGGTGGATTGAACCTGGTTTTATAGCGCTAAACCTCTCACTTGTACGACAGTCTTATCTAATTCCGTTATATTTACAACGTTGCGTGAACAAAACAGACATTATAGATAAAATAGTCAAAATATGGATACAGCAGTCATCACTGTGTTACAATATCAAAACAAACAATTATTTACAAAAAAGCACAAAAGCACAAAAGCATCTATCAAATTAAAAACCACATTCATTGCTTCGCGTGTCTGACGTCAGAAAATGTAAACGTCACATAAGAAGAAATGTTGTCATTCAATGTTTATTCAAAACAATTTCATAATTTCACATGGGGAATGTTGGTATACAGCCAGCTGAAGGACGCCTCCGGGTGCGGGAGTTTCTCGCTGCATTGAAGACCCATTGGTGGCCTTCGGCTGTTGTCTGCTCTATGGTCGGGTTGTTGTCTCTTTGACACATTCCCCATTTCCATTCTCAATTTTATTAGGGTTAAAAAATCAAAAGTTATGTTAGAATTAATTTCAGAAATAGACCGAGATTTAAAATTGTCCAGAAGATTTTAGAATTTTTAAGAATCCACATATGGTTAATACCACTTAGCGAGTAAAATAAATTTGTCGTTTGTCGTTCAAAGTATTTTCAAATTTATAATAGAACAATAACATAATGACATATAATAGAACAATAACATAATGACGGGATCTTTTAAAGTACAGAGTCACGTTATAAGAACCACAGAAACACAAAAAGTCGCATATACAAAACACACCAGCAAAAATGAAAGATAATACAAACACATTGACGGGATGTATAAGTACCTAGCCACGTCAAATGGATATCACAGAAAACAAACCAAACAGTAAAAGTAATATTAATAATAGAACAAAGACAAATGAAAGAACAATATAACACGTTGTTAAGATGATAAACAACGTCAGTATGCAGAATCTATACTTCAAGACCATTGTGTATTATTTGTGAAGTTGATACGGAATATTTATCAACAAGGTCTTGGTACCTTCCGATGAACTTTTTTAGAAAAAGGACGAGACGTTCTTTGACATACCCCTGGTTCATCAACTTTCTGCTCAAACACTGGTGACGTTTTACAAAGTCTGAGTAGGAGCTGCAAGCTCTTGAATATCGAACAAGTTGGGAAATGTATATCCCATATGCAGGTGAAGTTGGTATATTGCTACTAAGGTGGGGGAAATTGATAATTTTAAAATTAAAATCGTCTCGTTTGTCATAGATTCTGGTACTGAGATGACTGTGTATGTCAAATTCGAGATATAAGTCTAAAAATGAGGCGGAGGAAGCCGTGTCTGTTGTTTCTTTAATTTCTAGTTCTGGGGGATATATTAATGGAACCCAATCAGAAAAGTTCGGATTGTTAATGGAAAGAACATCATCAATATATCTAAAAGTGAAATTAAATAATCTGGCTTCTTTGATCTTCTTGTTTTTGACAAGTGTCTGAAGGAACTCCGATTCATATGAAAATAAGAAGAGGTCGGCAAGGAGAGGCGCACAGTTCGTTCCCATAGGAATGCCGACAATTTGTTGAAAAAGTCTACCTCCAAATTCAACAAATATGTTGTCGATAAGAAACTCCAGCATACTGATCACTTGTTCTTCTGTGTAGCATGTTTTACCCTTTTGTTCACTATTAACAAAATATGCCTTATGATATCCCAAAGTAATAAATTTATAGCGTATGCTACCATTTTTATGATGAAAAGCATTGTGGAGTATTTCTTTCAGGCGATTTTTCAATTTCACATGGGGAATGGTGGTATACAGGGTTGAAAAATCTAAAGTTTTGATAGAACTAATTTCAGAAAAAGACCGAGATTTAAAATTATCTAGAAGTTCTTTAGAATTTTTAAGAATCCACATATGGTTAATACCACTACGCGAGTAAACAGTTTCACATTATTTCTGGAGACCCTCTTTCACTGCGGACAGAATTTTAGTCAATCTAATGGACAATTCTTTAGTGGAACATGCAGATGAGCCGGCAATGTACCGTTGTTTGTAAGGAATTTGCAACTGTTTTTTTATTCTTCTGTTTTAGGGGGAGGGGGGGGGCATATTTTTGCTGACGTTAAGCGAAATTTTTGTATTTTTTATTGCTAATTGTTGCCAAAATATCCAAAAAAATTTTTAAATTTGGTAAAAAATCAAAGGTTTAACACTTTTCTTCTTAGTACCGTTGAATGTAATATTATGTACACGATTCATATAGCAGCAATGAAAAAATCTTAATTTCAGCATTTTTATTGTTTATTTCACAACATTTTGTTTCGCTCATGCAACTGCTTTCACATATTCGTGACAAAAACATACAGATTGAACATAGTAATCAAATAATCAGCATCAAGTCTTCCATAGGCCTAAATCTAACAGAAACAACCAAACACCTCGTTTTAAACAAAGCGAAGCAGTCAAAATATGCTGGTCAAGTCTTTAAAAAGTAACGCTTTCTGCAAAGGGGGTACCTGTAAAGAATGTCATTTTAAATGATAAACAATTGTATCTTTAATCAAAAAAATAGAACCTAACCAGTTGGGGTTTATAGTAATCGACTTGTGCAAAGGTTGTCCAATTTCATTTCAGTATTTGACAGTATAGGTTAAAAGGAAGTAAATAACGATGACTGGCACCACCTAGTTATTACATCCAAGATAATAGATAGAAATAAATGTATTTTCTGCTGCCCTGTCAATTAGGAAACGAAATTGAAATAGTGAGACATAAATGTTGGCTATTGGTGTAGAAATAGCGAGAAATTTGTAAGAAACTGTTTTCGAGATATTTTAGAAATTTTAAAATTATTACTTCATTTTAACCATATACATATAGCAATCCCTGTTGAGTAATGTAATACAACACATGCTGAAAATCTGATTTATCGCCCGTTGACCAGCAAACACGTGTATGATTATAAAATTTGCCAAAAACCATAATGTCATATCGCTAATATCCATGTGTATGAACCTACATGTACTCTATAAAAATATGCTTATTTTTTCGGAATATTAAGATTAATCTAATTTTACCTCAAATAGAGTGATAACTGTTGTCTTTGTGTCCAGTAGCATTCATTTCATCAATAATCAGAATAAAAAAATAAAATAAATTTAATATGTTTGGTTTATGGAAGGCTGGTCCATTCGGATAAAGGGAAGGAAATTATTCAATCGTGTCTCTTTCGCTTTATTCGTACTCAACATCACCAATTTCAACCGGACATGGTCACATATTTTTACGTTGCGCACAGCATTATGACGACTTGGAAGGAGAAACTGGGTACAATTTTATACTCTGGTGTACTCTCGTTATGGAAAAGGGTTGCTCGATTATAAATTAATGTATATCAATTTCAAAATTAAAAGAAGAAAACGAGAGAATAATGCATGTACACATTCATAACTCTGTAAAATCTGAGAATCACATGCTCAAAAGTTTAAAAATATGAAATGAAATTCGATCTGAATATTGTTCAGGACCAGAGTAATGTATTTTACTGATGGACTTAACATCGAAAGTCGATCAATTTGCATAAAAATTGACGTGGTTGTATTCTTTATAAGCTATTAATTTAATGTTTGATGTAACAGGTCTTCTGATTGACTGAAAGTTTTTTTTGTCTTTCAGCTCATAGACATAATTATGTCATGTGACCATGAGGTCATCAATGTTTTTTTTTCAAGATTTACTCCTTATAAATGGAATCTAGAATTAAATCATAAGGACTGACTGTAATATTTTTCTGTCTATTCGAAATAACCTAAAAAATGTGGTGCACACTTTTAAATAAGCCGCTACGCTTGTTAATCAGTGTGCACCACATGTTTGATGCTATTTCTTCATAAACAGAAAAAAAATATTACAGTCATTCCTTAAAAAGACCGAGTTTGTGGCATTCATTTACTATAGAGGCATATAGAGACTTTGGCCTATAATGGTTTGCTTTTACAAATTGTGACTTGGATGGAGAGTTGTCTCATTGGCACTCATACCACATCTTCTTATATCTATATACCATTTCAAAAGTTATTATAAGCTTTAAATAGGTTGTATTTAAATAGTGTCACTGTCTTATAAATGTTATATTGATTGTAACATAGTGCGAACAAAAAACTTAAAAAGACTCTCCATAATAACATAACAAATCATTTTGTCTGGCTTTGAAGAAGAAAGATAAATTATTGTCAATGTTTCCAACCCAAATGTAAATTTATTCAATACAGGAACATTTTATTTCATATACTAGTATAAAAAAAGGAGATGTGACATGATTGCTAATGAGACAACTATCCACCAGATTAAAAAAGAAGTGATAGTAAGCAATCAAAGGCAACCGTACATAAGTTTACTATCTAAATTAGGAAATGAATTTATTGGTTGATTGCTGTTTGATTAACTTGCATATTTAAGCAAAAAAAATATGTTTAAACAAAATATATTGCCTCCCAGCAAGTCACCTATGGACCCTGTAGACATTGTTGCAGAGGTTATTATAATGTGTTTAGAGCACATTACGGTCGCTACATGAGTAATCGGATTTAATCGCCCCATTCCAAACAGATGTGACTGGCTGTTTATTTATCCTGCAAATCCGTACGGACATCATACTCTAGCTAGCAAAGGTTATTCTGCCTGATGGGAGAATCTCAGTTAACCATATTTAAGCCAATTCGATCCTTTGGGTTTAATAAGAAAACAAGTTATTAGCTATATCTAGGGAGGGGCTTAACTGCTCCGCCTTCTATGTGACATCTTTTGAAAGGTTAAAATATTTTAAGAAACGGTTCTACTATTTATAACAGATGTAGCTCAATCAGTTAAAAGTAAGTTTAAAGACTGTTTGCGGAATTCCACATACAATCGTTGATAAAATCGTCTACCCTATTTCTCTTAATTTTAATATTAAAAATTTCAATTTTAAGTCTCGATTTTTTTCCCTTACACATAAGAATTTTACGAATAAAAATGAAAAGTTCGGCTTCAACATTTATTAAAAATTTGCTGATAAGAAGAATGTAATATTGCTTTAGTAAAACTGTCACTTTTGGTGTTTATACATTGGTTTAACATAACAATTAAGTTTAAATGATCAGAATATTAGGGTTTTATTTAAATTTTTAGAACCAGTATTTTATGAACATTTAGATGAAAACACTCACCGATAGGTTGTTAGTCGCATTTTCCAAGATGTAAAAATATGCATTTGGTGTTAATAGTGTATATCATTTATAGATACATATTATTTTTGTTTACTGGAGTATCCAACAGATGTTGTTTCATTTTGTCATGCATAGATTTATTTGTAATTTGTTACTTTATACTGACAATCGAATTCTCAAACATGACCTTGTTCATATCTATATATATAATTGTAATGTATAAATATATACGGAGACATGGGCAGAGGCTTTTTAACTTTCTAATATAATTTTATACTATTTTATTCAAGAATTTTCACTAAAATCAATATATATATTTCGTACTTACCTAATTATTTCTGATTAATTTATTAACAACTTTTATATAACTCGAGATTTAGGGAATCCGATTGTCATATTGCCAATGTATAGTCACCTGTTTTTATATGAAGACGTATTATATCTCGATTCGCTTTTCATTCACATCAATTTTTTTCAAAATTACTTTAGTTTTATATGGTAATAAAGGAAATAGAGTCAATATAATGTCATTTTGGTATAATATTACAATGTATATTGGATTTCTTAACATGTAATTTTTTTGCATATATGCCAAAGATTTGTTGATAGCGTTTGATTTTGTCAGTTTTTATGGACTTCCTACTTTTTAAAATTTGCCTTCGAGTTCGGTATTTTTGTTATACTTATGTATATGATAAAAAAAAATCGAGAGGTAAACGGATACACAGATAACATCAACATATTTGTTAGACATTGTGGAAAAGAGTGGCATAGCTACATTGTAGGCCATTTTTAATTGTACGCCAGAACTTTATCGAGGGGTTTAAGGTCCGCTAAGCTGATATAGGGCAGATGACCTCCTGGCTGGGGGCGAAACGCACCGGAAATAGATGACCTCCTTATAGGGGCGAAACCCACCGGAAATTCACGCGTTATTGAGAAAAAGATATCAATATCTGTCATTAAAAAACTCATCAATAGAAACATACTTGGTCGGTTAAGACAAAAACTTTACGACAAAAGAGATGATGTCAGCTTCCAATTGTGAACTTTACTTTTCTATGTAGCAACATTCCAGCAGCACCTGCATATGCAGTATATATCTGACGATTGATAAGATATTCCAGAGCTTGCATTTTCTATCATGATTTTCTTGATAGAGGGTTGCTGCTTAAAATAAAGCTAATGAACCAAGAGTTCCAAGTGGTGAAGTTGAAATCATCCTATCGAAAATTTTACGATCGACATCACGAGTAAGTTGACCGTTATGGAATATCTGATTCACAGATTGCTAATGACGACGGATCTGTTCCACTTGTTGATATTGCCACAATCCCGTTCTTTTTTCCACGAATGTGACCTACCGAATTAGACTTATCACTGTTTTTGTACTTACATCAGCAACACTACGAGTGCCACACGTGGAGCAGGATCTGCTTACCCTTCCGGAGCACCTGATTTCACCCCCAGTGTTTGGTGGGTTTCGTGTTGTTCAGTCTATTATTTCTATGTTGTGTATTGTATACTGTTGTTTGCCTTTTTGTAGTTTTTGCTTATTTTTGTTCAGTGTGTTGATTTGGACTTATTTGGTCATTAAAAACGATCAAATTCAAGCTTAAATTATGAAAAATCTATCCAATATGTCATAAAGCGTCACTTTTCAAATGGTTTTTGTCTAAAGTGTAAGTGGCGCTTTCGTGTTCAGTCTCAACCTTTATATATGTTATGTATTATCATCAAATACAAAATATATTTAAATATTAAGACTGAACACAAATGCAGCCACTTCCATTTTAAACAAAAACCTTCTTAAAATTAGCACAAATGCTAAAATTGTGAAGATTTAAGTAATATTGCATGAATTTAGGATGCTTTTACCTGATGCATGTGCATTGTATTGTCAAAAACAGCCCATATTTATGGAACAGAAGTATTCTACTTTCCAATAAATAGCTAAAAGTTTACATTTTAACAAATTTGTATAAATGCTATATTTTGGGGCCAAAAAGGGGTCTTACCGGGCCTACTCCTTTGGACAAAAGCTTTTTTTATGATCAAAAGACAATACTCAGACAAAATTATCAAAAAGTTTATTTATTATTTCCGTACTTTACTTATACATCGACTTAGTTTTTTGTAGTAGCAAAAAATAGATACAGTCTGGGTTAAAGTCTGTTTTACATCAATTACTTTATAAAACCTTCAAAGAATTTTATGAAATTTTGAGGAATCGTTTTCTATGATTAAGAGATATTGGTTAGAGCAAAATTTATAAAATATATACTTCTTTTCATTTTTCAGTATTAATACTGATAGATGGACTTAATCTTTTGAAGTTAAAGTTTACAAACAGCCTGGTATTACATGTTTTGACATGCTATTTTTTCTAAAATTTCATGGATTGTTATGAACCTTGGAAAGATGCAACAACAGTATACCGCAATACCTGCAAAGGAATAAAGATATGTGTGACAACTGATTGTATATTCTAGAACTTGATTGTGTCTATTATTCATAATTATGTCTTATGAACATGACACGTCGCCCAGGATTAAAAGGTGTCAAAAAGATGCTGCCAAGGACAAACAACTCCGAATAAAATAGGTTTTGTCCCTATTTACAAGATGTCTTTTTTCTTTCTTTCAGAAGGTTTTGTATTTTGTGCTTCATATGAGTAGATAAACAAGTCGGCGAGTCGGAGTTCACAATAAGTACCCATTTGAATACTGACTGTAAGTTGACATATTAATCTAACAAAACTAAACAAATATGTTGTCCAACAAAAATTCCAGCATGTTAAAGATCTCATCTTCAGTGTATTTGATTTTTGAATCAGTGCAAAGTTACATTCGTCATGATGTTTATTGTTCAATAAGTCACATTTTTGTTGTGAACTGCATCATGTATGTAGTCTTGTTAAGTCTATCTTGTAGCTCTAGTTATGTGATCATTTTAATGGATACATTGTATGACTGTTGAAAGTTTGACTTTCACGATTTTTAAAGTAATCAAATATTGTGGGTTGGAAATGATAAGTTTGGTTTTATTTGTATTTGTCTCCGTATTTTATTGGTTGGTTAAGTTTTAACTACTAAAGTGCAATGAGGGCCAAATATGGAAAAATAATTTAAAAACGATGAGAATTTCTCTTGTATTGGGAGGTCTGCATGTGCATGATTAAATTTGCAGCCAACTTGAATATTTGGACTAAAATGGACATTACTTCTGCTTGGCCAATGTCAGAACTTTTATTGCAGATGTTCACGCGATTGGTGGTACATATTTAAAACATAGATCTATAAATATATAGAATGTACTTAAATAGGGGCGAAAATATGCAGTTTTGTCACTGTAAATAGCTATTTCTTGAAATTTCGTCCTCATAATTTTGTTTAAAAATGATATGCTATTGCAGTAAACATTTCTATTTTCATTAAGATGGAAATATCTTTACATCTATTTCATAACTATTTAATTGATTGTTACTCTGAAAGTATAAATGCTTTACATAAAATTGAGAATGGAAATGGGGAATGTGTCAAAGAGACAACAACCCGACCATAGAACAGACAACAGCAGAAGGTCACCAACAGGTCTTCAATGCAGCGAGAAATTCCCGCACCCGGAGGCGTCCTTCAGCTGGCCCCTATACATGTATATACATTATCCGATATCCATGTGCAGTTCAAAGGGTTCTATATAAAAAATTTAATAATAATTAGAAATATCGCCCAATTACGCATACTTCGCATAAATATAACTGCTTCTTTCAACTCAAAAGGTAAAAAGGGTGGGGTTGAATGTTTGACGAAATTCAAAAACATAGATGTTCCCAACCTTTGAGAGAATATGGTACATTTCCTCTCGCTGATCCCTTGTCACTATATATTAGCAAAATACCCATTACATAATGGTTTGAAGAAGTCAGTCTGCTTATATGATGCTATATACAACAACAATTTCCTCGATAAGGATGAGTACTACAATGAACTATTTCAAGGACGAAACATATCTTCAGATTCCTATATGATCCTTAACTATAATGCGTTTCCAACTACGCTGCTACATTTCATTATCATCAATGTCAAACTGCATTTTATTTTTATAATGAGCTAATAGGTTCAATTTTATATAGTGGCAATGGCCCGATTAAAATAATTCACATGTAAATTTACACTTTTTCAAATCGACAAATGTCAAGCAAAAATGCTTCAAATCTAAAATCCATAAAGATTTCGATGGAAAGTAAACATACCCACTTTATTTTAACTTTGGTGGATAGCTGTCTCATTGGCATCATACCTCATCACCTTATTTTTATAAAGATGAATAAATATAAATCAAGAAGGTAAAGGGATTGATATTGCTCTACAAATCATTGAGACTTTGTTTACTTTTTTGTAGAAGTGATCATGACTTTAAAAGTATATCATTAAATAACGAGATATAATTAGAAACCAATGTTTATTTTAAATTTACCGTCCCCGAAATCTGGGTACAAATTGACTTAGTGGGTTATTTAAGGGGAATAAGTAGTATTACATTTTTCCGGCTTTAGATTGGCCTTTTGTGTACCAAGGCAGGCGAAGGAAGTCAATTTTTGAGCGCTGTGGTTGGATGTAAGGGTATAATATATTTTTTAAAATTTATTTATGAATAACTGCAGTGTGTATATTTACAATATAAATTTTGAAACACAGGGACAGATTTTCTTGAGAATTATTCGAAAAGGCTTCCAATTTTTCATAAATTTGATGTGAAAATGACGTTGACGGGGAATATTGACGGGGAATGTGACCAAAGAGCAGAAAGCAGCCACAAGAAAATCCCGCACCTGGAGGTGGGCTTCAGCTGGCCCCTAAACAATAATGTATAATGTGACTCCCTAAACTCCGGAACATATTATACAAATGAAACAAATTAATAAAAAAAGACACACAAGACAAACAAAGACTTGAGGTTCCAGACAGGCATACAAATTCATAAAAACATGCAGATATGTCTTGTGAATCGGTTGTTTGAATGTTGCTTGAATCAGTATGGTTCTTCACAACACAAGATTTTGTTATGTCTTTACACAACGAATTTGTAAC